ATACACATACATACATACATATATACTTATCATGCATGCACACCATATTTATTTCCTAAATTAATATCAATATTATTTAGATATGCACGTTACAAATGTTCTTTAATGCATTATATATTTTTATATAATATATAATATATTATATATATTATATATTATATAAAATATATTTCATATATTATGTATTTTTTTAATATATATAAAATATATTTCATATATTATGTATTTTTTTAATATATATAAGTATATTTAAATATATTTAATATATATTTAATATATATATGTATATATATTCATTTAAACACATACATAATTAGATTTATCAAGTTTTCCGCGCGTCGAATCTACAAATTGATAATGTCCCAACATAACCTAAAACAAGTCCCAAAATCTCGCAGATTGAGAAGACTGTGCTATACAACCAATAGGCCTGTTCTTGCCTTTCAGCTGAATTTTTTGCACTATTCAACTTTTTTCTTTTCTTCTCCAACATGGAAAGAAAAAGATGAAAGATGAAAATAATTTAGAACAGGTGGTAATAGGTGATTGAAGGCACTTTTAACAGAGCCTCTCCACTCGGGGGAACATTCCAAAAAAAATAATAATAAAAAGATCTCAAAATCTTACAGATATCAATCTCTCTCTGTATCACGCTCGATTGTGTGCATCACGGCGCACATTGATGAAAGTTATCTGGAACGAGAACGATGATAACAACACACGCGTACGCTTACACATCTTATCACTCTAACGGCCGTCGACCAGTTGATCGAGTGAAACACTGTCAGATCGACGCCTCCAACAATAGGATTCACAGGTGGGATGCTGTCCTCTCCACAAGTCGATCTGCAGAGCTGAGTTGCACGTCAGCTCCCGCGTCGGGATTCCCGATAGGAATTAAATCGACTCCAAAGATTAAGATGACACGATACGAGAAAACTGAAATGCGCGCTGAACTTCGGGTAACGATTCTTACGCGCGGATGTCTCTGGCAATATGAGGATGGCAAAAGCTTCCAGAAAAGATCCTCCCTCCTCTCTCTCTCTCTCTCTCTCTCTCTCTCGCGCCCAAACCAGAGCGTCGACGAGCTCCGTGTTGACTTCATAACCTCACGCGCGTCAACCTCCCGCGATATCCGCGACGGGAGGATCGATCGATCCCTGGAGTGCTCCGATTCGAATCCCCCGATTCCACGAATCGCGACAAACGAACGGGAAGCCTCGTCGTGGAGCCTGGCATCCGACGATGGCAGGGACGCGACGGTTTTATAACCTCTCTCTTCCTCTCGCGCGCGCGTCGACAGCTCGACGTCCGAACGCTCTGTTTTTTTTTTTCCCCTTCCAGTCTCTCTTCCCTCGAGTCGTTCCCGCGTTTCGCGTCGAACGGGGATCACCACGAGAGACACCGTCGTCGACGAGAGTTTCGGGTCTCAGCACGCGAGCGAACGCGAGAAATTGACCTGATCGTACTCACCGTGTGCCTCCGTACTCTTCCGCTAGCCGATTTCACGCACTCTCACATTTTTCATGATCACAGGCGTTTTCGGTGTGCGAGGGGCTCGCGATGACGGCTACCACTACGAGCGCGACTACCGCGGCGACGAAGACGGCCAACGGTGACGGGAACGAGGTGACGAGGACGATGACAGCGACGACAGTGACAGCAGCGATCTTCGACGCGAAGACTGCCGAGAGTCCCGTGAGCTGCGACCGCTTCACCGTTACGTCCGTAACGGAGCTCGTCTGGCTCGCCTACGAACTGAGCCGAGCTACATTCGGTCTTGCGATTTGCGATACGGACCAGACCCCCGCGCATGCGCGACAAGCGCGGCCCTCAGTGACGTGCCAGCTCGAGTAAAAAGAGGCGCTACTTTTATAAGAAAATAGTTGACAAACGTTTAAAGAAATCAATAAAAATATATATATGTATATATAAAGTTTGTAAATATCATATCATTGATAAAATATATATGTAACTTATAATAAGCCTTTCATTTTGTTGCTAATTATCTAAATCTTACGCTTTTTGATATTTTACATCTTTGTCTTGCTATTCTTTGCTATTTTATATTAAATATTAAAACAAAATTTTAATAAAGATTAAAAAAATTTTTTTAAATATCTAATTAAAATACATGATTTGTTGCTTATACAAAGCTTAATAAACATAAAATATTTTGTTATGACGCGATTGTTATTAAACGAAAGTTGTCGAAAATTGTTTTCGATAATTGTCTGACTTAATTAACAATCTTTTTTCGAACTTTTTTCTTTAACAATTAATTTTCAACTCTATAAATAAATCGCAATCTTTAAATTTGAAAATTTAACTTGAATCTTAATATTAAATTATTAATTATCTTAATAATTATATTAATAGTCTTAATATTAAAAGACAATAGTAATAGCATTTTTGTGACATCTTTCTAATATTACCAAAATTACTTGCCAAAAATATTTTCGATTAATCGTAATTTTGGATGATGTCATATGTTTATAAAAACAATGGCATATTTGTATTAAACTCGAAATGTAACAGAAGAAATAAGTAAAAACTGAGAAAAACAAACAAGAAATGGAATATAATTTTCCACAATATTTTATCTGTTCACCTTGTATAAATAACGACTATATATTTTACCAATTTAGAAGTATATATATATATATATATATATATATATATATATATATTTACATATAACTGTATTCTCACTTTATAATTTATATAATCAATTACATATTAATGTATCCCCCTAATTTATCCCTATTCATGTACACTTAATTTTTTGTACACGAGATATACAAAGATGTAATTTTGCTATTGAGAATAAAAGAAGCTCTTATATGCAGTACAGACTCGAGAAAAAGGGAACTCGAGGTTTCAAAATAAATTTTCAGAAAAGGGAAAAGAGCAATATACACGCTCCTTATTAGCATACAGTATCAAGATATCGATACGATTTCTGGTGAGCGCGAGTATCGATGTTAAAATGTCCAAGTAGGGAGTATCGATACTTTCAAATATATCTCGACTATTCTATCCATCATCGAAACACCGCCGGATCGAGAGGGGAGGTATCGACGCGTACGTCGCAGTATCGGAGGTATCGGCGGTATCGGTAATATTGGTGGCCATCCCTGCAAGGGAGTTTTGGGGTCGTGGGTGCTTGCGAATGGCCGACCCCGTCGTCGTCGTCGTCGTCGTCGCCGTCGTCGTCGCTGCCGTCATAATTTCTGTCAGGCGCGCCACTCGCTACGGGAAAGCCATGTAAATGTTCGTCGCGTCGCGGGGGAAAAACGTGAGCGGAGAGTATCGGCGAAGACACGAGACGCGAGGTCCGGGCGCGGCGACACGCGCCGCAGAAACGGAGAAGGAAAACGCGCGGAGGTACGACGGAGGTGTCTAGCCGAAGATCGCGAAGGTCCCACGCCAGGGTCGGGAGGAGAAGCAGCGGGAAGGAGAGGAGAATCCCCACGCGGTAAACGGTCATCCCGATCTCTCATCTCCTGTGGACAGAGTCATCGTCTTATCCCTGAAACAAGAGCGACGATTGGGGCGGATACGTGAGATCCGTCACCGTCTGAAATAATACACCGGGGGAATCGCGCGCAAAGAGAGAAGAGAAAGAAAAAGATAGATCACGGGCGGATGTATTCGTAGCCTGACGGTGATGCCGCCGCCGTTGACGCGAACCTCGCACGCGCTCCGCTTTCCTCGACTGATCGCAGGTCACAGCGAACGGAATGTGTTTCGTTGTAATAGGCTGTGTTGAAGAGCCACGAGGGTGACGCGATTGGGAATTACGTAGGAGATCCGAGATCTTTCTCTTAGGTAGCAGCCGTGCCACTTGGAGAATATTTTCAGGAATATTGGATCGACAAAGATTACATTTCATTTACGCTGAGAACGCACAGTCAACTTGTGTTCTTGAGAGACAGTTATAGCTCTTAGTTGTACGTGTTTACTGTTCTAGAATCATGTTTGTAAATACTACGTAGAATTTTTCCACAGCGGAATATTGGATTACCTTTGGAGTAGATGAATTTCAGATGATTACATACAATCAGTGATTAAATACAATTACAACATACATACACACACACGCACATATATATATATATATATATATATATCTATAATCAAGATTTGTTTTAAATGTGTGAAAAAATATAGTTTATTTACTTGTTCAAGATGTGTATGAGATATTGAACGATATTCGAAAAGCATTAGTCTAAGATAGGAATGAGAAGCACTTGAATAAAAACCTGCATATCAAAATTGATATTAATTGTACAACTCAACATCGCTTAATGAATATTAATATTGCAGACTTAGTTATGGAGGATAGTATGAGTGTAAAGTCCATGGAATCAGTGGCGACAAGTGATGAATATGAATTTGTGAATGAGAAAGGTACTAGCAAGCAGCAGCAAGCTCTCCTGGAACCACCTATGCTAAAAATCGCCAATAACGGCAATCTAGAGGATCTGCAAAATAATCTCCGTGAGGTTTGTATATCTATATGACTTTTATCATGCCTAGATTTTAATAAATAAGTTTTACTCTAGATCCATGAGAGATAAATATTGTAGATTAATATGCCTATATATGCTTTGTATGACAACTACAGATTTTGACAGAGGACTCGAAAATGGAGGGAGGTGAATTCAAAGTGACAGGTGCCAGTCAGCAAAACCAAGAAAAGACAAAGAAAGTAGGTCATAGTAAATTTTACGACGTTAGTTCTTGCATTGTCACGTCAGAAAAGCAGGATATTATGAAGCCCGAAGATTATCTTGAGGAAGGTAAGTTACTGACATACATTCATAGATGATATAAAAGTGGTAAGATTTTAGATTTAAAAATATATTTTATAATCCAGAATTAAACACATTGTCACACGTTCAACAAGAATGCACCATTTTCAATGGCGTTACCTATCTGGGGGCAGCAGCAATAAATGCACCAAAATCAGAATATGAGATTCAACGTAACATGAACATATTAAATGCAGAACAATCGTTAAATTTAGGAATAAAAGTTTCTGTTTCGGTGCCGAGTAGTTCACAAGGTTCAGTCATGTGAGTATATCTAAATTTTGTGAGCGTTATCTGTGTGCGATTAAATAACATATGCTAATTCTTCAGCCTGTATGACGCTGCAACGCAACAAGCTATCGCGCGTTACGAAGTGCAACGTATTTTATTTTACGCACGTGGTGAGAGTACTGGTTCATGTGCAGCATGTTTTGCTTTTACGTGGTCACATGGTGACACTTTAGAATCTGCCATTTACCAATGTCACGTTTTCCGCTGTGATATACCAGAAGCGGTATGTTTTGATATTATCAATTATTATCTACATATGCAAATAATTGAAATTATAGCTATATTTTATTATATCCTTAAAGTACATAACATTTTAATATAAATTAAATGTTTATAAATATTTTAAATCATTTTGCAAAATACATATTTGTGTTAATGTATATTACATGTATCTTGAGTGTTATAATTATATTATTTAGGTTGGACAAGTGTCAGCCTGCTTTTCAAAAGCGTTTCACAGAATACCACGTTCGATGACAAATTCTTTGACCGGCAGTGACTTTAATGGGTTCAATACTGGTGAAAAAATTAATTCTAGAGTATTTATTTTCGAAGTCACTATGGAAATAAAAGAAGAAGATGGAAAAGGCGGTTTCAGTACGGTTCCTAAGGATAGAAATTGTTTTAAATTACGAAGCAATATAGCGAAACAAGTTTGTTTGAGTATCCAACAAGTGTCCAGTAAAGAAGGTGGCATTACACTTGAAGTCGAGAGATGTTTTGGAGTTCTTGTTAGCCCCGGGCGAAATGTTAAACACAGTGATATGCGACTACTCGAGATGGTAAAAAGAGATTCACACCAGCAAGTTAATTTTATGTCTATAATCAGCTCAGATGTTCGCAATATTACAACAATTTTGCAGCAAGTTAATACTGGACCAATAATGCAAGACAAACAGTGCTATAATATTTGTGGACGTTGGGATCCCGCGGATCCCGCTTTGGAAACTCTTAATATAGAAACTCCAAGAGAGGGTAAAATTTTCATGACTGTTGCCGTCGATCTCGTTATCAGAGATATTCGAGAACCAGTGAGATTTGTGATAGAAACATCAGTTAAAGTGTTTCCACAAAATGAGAGATTTTGGTATTTTAACAAGAGAAATCTTGTGCAACAATTTTATCTTAATTCCAAAGAGGTAAGCTCTGTCCTGATATGATTTAATAAGAAATTACGTTTCATAAAGATTTCTCGTTTGATATTACATGTTATTTTCCATAATTTTGTATATTAATTTTTTGTGACAGGTAATTTCTGGAGATGGTACAGAGGTGCATTATGAAGTACAAAGCATAGAAACATCCGGCGAATTGGATAGAAATAGATTAAATCTGGCTTTGAATTTAGCATCTTTAATCAGATCGCCCTCTTTAACAAGTATCGACACACTTACACCTAAAGAAGAAATAGATTCAGGTAACAAACTAAACTTAAAAAAAAAAAATTGACGCACGAATTTAATAACGCATGTATCCATTAATGTTTGAATTTCTATTTCTATAGATGGTGATGAACCCATGTTAAGTGGTACAGGCGAAGTCTCCAAGGATTGTTCAGCAGATGAATTAGCTAGTTGGGCTGAAGTTTTAGACAGTTGGCAAATTAACGAGCAACGTCCGAAACTTCTTATAAAACTAACAAAACAAGGAATTCCTGAAGCTTTACGCGGTGAAGTTTGGCAACGTCTGAGTAATTGTGACAATTCGCAAGAGATGATGGACAAGTATAGAATGTTGATTACAAAAGTGAGTACTCAATATAATTTCGGATAATGAAAAGTAATCGAAGCTCTTTCTCTGAGATATAACATCAATTTTGATAATAAATACACAGGAAAGCAGCTGTGAGAGCGTAATTTTAAGGGATATTAATAGAACATTTCCAGCCCATGATTTCTTTAAAGAGACAGGTGGTTTAGGGCAAGATTCTTTATACAGAATAAGTAAAGCATATGCTGTTCACGACGAAGAAGTTGGATATTGTCAAGGCCTCAGTTTCTTAGTTGCTAGTCTGTTATTACATGTAAGTAATAATTATATATAGATAGAATTCATTTATCGTAAAACTATAACGATAGAGATTCTTTACAGATAATATGTTTTGTAATAGTTTATGTAAAGTATTTACCAACAAAAAAGAACTTAAGTATTTTTTTTAGATGCCCGAAGAACAAGCGTTTTGTGTTCTGGTTAAATTAATGTATGACTATGGTCTTCGAGATTTATACAAAGATAGATTTGACAACCTTTATATGCGATTTTATCAATTAAATCGCTTAATAGAAGTGAGTTACGATAAATCTATTTGATAACGACATATGGCAATAAATTATACATAGCATTAACTATATAAATTATCTACAATTTACTTTTAGGATCAATTGCCGGAACTCTATAAGCATTTCTGTGATCGCGGCGTAGAAACGCACATGTTCGCCGCACAATGGTTTCTAACTTTATTTACTGCTAGATTTCCATTATATCTTGTCTTTCATATCTTGGACGTATTTCTTTTACAAGGACTCGACACATTATTCCAAGTCGCCCTCGCTTTATTGATGGTGAGCTATTATATACAAAAAGTTTTTAATGCATTATACATAAATAGTGATATACAAAATTATTCCATTAATTTTTTTAATCGATATGATTCCTTATATTTATTTCATAAATGTATGCCAAAGAAGAGTAATTTTTCTTTTCAGTTGTGTAAAAAAGAGTTATTACAATTAGATTTTGAAAGCATATTGAAATACTTCCGGGTGCATTTACCAAAACGTTGCCGAAATGAAGAAGTTGCACGTTATGTTATGAAGTTAGCTTGTTCAGTGACGTTAAAGAAATTGAAGAAGTATGAAGCAGAATTTATAACGTTGAAAGGTAATTTTATATTCTACGTTTGAACTACATACCTCTGTTCACTTTTAAACACAATGTTCCATCAATTCATCAGGAAACACTGTACACCGTGCTGTACATGCATGTATATTTCGTGTATGGTTCAGCATTCATTGCCTGTTGGTTGTGAATTTGTTTTCAGTGTGGGTAGAAGCTTTAGCCATATATAAACTTTTAGACTTACACATACCGTATTCGAAACTAAAGAGTCGAAGATTCTTGCATGACAAGGAGATTATTCATAAAACTATATATAAACTAATAATGAGTTCTTAGGCTGTGCCATAGGGAACATACGAGTATTTTTTTTATTCTTTTTGTTCTTTAGTGCTTAGGGAATAATTTTTCTTATATCTGAAATTAGACACAAATTAAAGAAAAAAATAAAAGTATATAGTTACATTTTAATAAACATAATAATGGAATTATAGTAAATTATGTATTTAATTGCGTCGAACAACATCATGCATGTGTACATTTAAAGTTGTACATTCGGAAAAAATACATATGAAATAGAACTTCATATTTTTTAAACCAAAGTATAAAACGTGTGTCTAGTCTCATAAAGAAACATGCAATTAGTATGTAGCTTTAATAAACGTAACATTAGTAAAATATTTAATAATAAACTTTATATTTCTGTGCTCTCTATTTAGTTGATTTAGAAATATCAAATGGACAACATATAATAATTATTTTAGTCAGGTGGTGGTTCTGCTTGCCTATACATTTCTTTTTTTGATTTTTGAAATTCAAATATCACGTGGCAAAAATATATTATTGATTATTCTTAACGTAAGAAATTTGTTGAACAGAATGCAGTTTAAAAAGAGGAGAGAGAACATGGAATATTTTCCTTGGACGACATATATCTTTTTTTCAAATTGCTAAATTAAAATAGAAATAATTAAGAAAATGATTTAATTATTCATTATTTTTTAATGTAAAATTTAATTTTGATAACTATTTTATATGCACACATACATCTGTTTGCTTTTATTTATTCATTGCAAATAACTCGCAATGTAATATAGTACTATTTTAATGAATTGTCCAATGATTAATTATTAATGATAAAATATATGCAATGAATAAAAATTATTAATGATATTAATTTTAAAAATTGTTAATGATAATATTATCAAATTTAAAGTTTATTGATAAATTAATAGATTTATCATTTTTATTGATATTATTTTTCATTTTTATTTTATTATAAAATTTGAATTTGTCATAATTATGAAATCTTTTTAAATAATACACATATGAATAAAGTCTGAAACTTTTGGGAATTTTTAAAGATATTAAAGATGTTTAATTATTATATTTTATTTTCTAATTTTATTGATTGAATGATAAATTGATTGAGCAATTGATCAAAGTATAACTTCCGCAATACAAAATACTCACGTCAAAAATTATAGTATTGTTATATTTTTCTTGCGCTATTGTATTACAATGGCAATGTCTCAATGCGTGCTGTGAACATATAGTAGTATATCAAATGTGTTAGACGAAGAGATTTTACGCACACTATCAAATTTTTGTTGTAAGTTTAATTTTGTAAAGTATTATTTATTTTTTAATGACATTACTTTATTGAAAAAGCTGATATTATGTTTGTTATTAGAATCATGCTTATCGGTAGTAGCGCTTGTGTATACGAACCTCTCTTGTATTGCTTTTTATTTATACATTATTTATTATTGCTCATTGAAAAATAAATCATCCCAGAGTACTTTTAGTTTTTTGTGAATTACCTATTTTCATCCGATAATATCCTGCTCCTAATTGAATTTTTAATAAACATCTGCACTTCCTATTTTCATATTTTGTTTTGTTTTTTTTTCTTTTTTTTTGCTATATGGGTATGCATGGGTATGACGCAATTGTCAAACGAAATTGTCAGCACACATTGTTTTTACTAACTACTTCCCTCGTATATCTATAAAATATAGACTGCCACGATACATGCAATAGTGCTAGATGATTACGATTAACAAAAAAAAAAAAATACGCGAAATATCCTAAGATAACATAAAAGAGATTATTTAATCTATGGAATGTTCGCAGATATTTTTATGAAGCTATTATCCAGATACGTATCATAGGTCGTTGAAGTATGCGTACGCTGATAAGCGGTAATATGACTAAAGGCTGACTAATCGCATTTGGATAGCTTTCCTGTCTTCGTATTGCAAAAACACAATATGTTTATATAAATTTGAATTCGAAACACACGGCTAAGAAAACAGGATGTATTAGTTATAATAAAGATAATTTGCAATAATAGTTCTCTTTTAAATGGATACAGGAAAAAGGTAGTTTTGAAGATAAATATCTCTTCAGTCAAATTTGTATTTTTTTTTTTTTTTTTTAACTTATATTGACAAAGATCGGGAAAGAATTTCGGCTATCAATATTATTGCCACTTGAAGAGATATATCAAACAAAGATAGAGATATCGAATATCAGCTATGTCAGCAGTTTAAATTTGGCGTAGCGTATTTCCTACTGTAATATATAACGAAGCCGACCATTCGTGTTAACGAGATATCTGTATCTGTCAGTTATGTTCGGACCATCTGTTTTTAACGTGGCGCAAGTATGAGCCACGCTGCGAAAGAACTAATGAAGAGTAAGAGGAGTGTATTTATATTTAAGCGTGCAGTACTAAAAAATACTGCGTATTGCGTTTGTTTTCTTGGAGAAAATGCGTACAATTCAAAACAATAAAATAAAACTACATGAAAACAAAAAATATTTATATAAAAATTTTTTTTAAGGAATATCTTACACTAATTACATTTGCAATTATGCGATCTAAAAAATTTTTTAAATTATATGAGATTAAACATCAGAGGAAGAATAATTCATAATAAATATAATTCGTATGTTAAATTTGCCTAAACAAAAATTATTTTTCTTCCTATAGAGGCACAGGAGAATGCTGACGAATACAGTAACGAAGTGGAGCAATTACGCGGTACAGTGGCCAGAAATGAAGAAGAAAAACAAAGATTGGAGGCAGAACTGTTGCAAATTAAGGAGATGTTACAACGCGAGGTAGCTCGGGCAGACGCCGAAAGCCGTAGAAGCAATGTGATTATAGCCGAATACAAACAGGTATGTTATATCGAAAGTATATGTTGTGTACACGAAATGTTACACCGCAAATATGCTCAATTTTAAGCTTTATAAAAAGTCGCAACGATATTTATATATCCTGTTAATATGTTTTAGATCTGTCAGCGTTTGGAGGACGACTACAATGCTGCGAAGACAACGTTGAGCGAATTACGGGTGCGTAATCGTAATTCAATTTCAATAGCATTAATCTTTTATCGAAGACAAGTTCTCATTCAAATAACAATAACTTTCAGGCGAAGGTTTCGAAGTGCGAAAAATGTAGGACATGTATAATGGATTCGTCGAATATATTAGCGGATATCGCGCATCCTCTGGAGAACCGGATAGATCCCATGCTGCACAGAGTTCAGGAAAGAGTGCGTGAGCTGGAGCTGGAACTGGCGCAAACAAAGTTGGCACACGTCGAGGCTGAGTGCCGGAATCAGGTGAGACATCTCGAGATCGTTTGAGATCTTCCGAGATTAGAGTACTAAATTAAGCACGATTCGCTCGGCAGGATCTGACCCATCAGTTGCACGCCACCGCTTCCGAGCTGCAAGCCACGCGCAACAGTTGGCCGTGGCTCAGCAAAACCTTGTCCAGTATAAAGGAAGCGGCGAACAAGAGGGAAGTGATGACCCCAACAGCGCTAAGAGATCTGAGACGCGATAGCGCGCCTGGGAGTGATCTGCATCATCTGATACACTCTCGAAGTCGCGAAACGCGCGACAGTCTTAAAGAAGTTGTGTGATGCAGTAAGTATGAACTACAATAATCCCTAAAAGATAGTTCGTCTTCTCCAGTGGCATGCAAATACAGATGTAGACTCCAATAGATAAGAATCGCTATATTAGTCATACATGAATATAAAAGTTTTATCTCTGCTTTAAAAAAAAATATATTTGATAGAGACATTGGGAATATCTCACCGATATGATTTTATTACTCTTCCTAGATATGCATGCGAATATATTTCAATACTCTCGCAATACTCTAGCAATATTATTTTCAATAATCTTTTCGTTATGCAGACAAAGTACCATTAGGAAGAGAAGAATACATACATCACGGAGTCGTGTGCTGGGCACGAATGTGTGAACATGACGTATATTCGTAGTTATGTATAATATACTTGATCTGTTAACTCGATGTATTCTTTGTCACGCTCTCCATTTGTAACGCACATCAAGTGCTTACTCTCATCAGGCAATCCTATTTACATAGCCGCTGATATTACATTGCAAATTTTTGTTACTTTATACTATTTTCGAAAGTAGTCCGTTTTCGTGTATTTTTTTTTTCTTTTCAACAATACGTATGAGTGATTATTTTGACATTATTTTTACATGTTTATTTCTTTTTCTTCCTTTCATTCGATGTACGCGCGAATGTTGGGCTCGATACAAAAAAAGCAAAAAACAAAAAACAAAAAAACAAAAACGCTACGCGGGTTACCAATGACGAGCAACGTACCGAAAAGTAATCACATAAACATAAATTACTTACAATAGGAGATAAAAGTAAATACATATGTCGCGTTTTGTATGAAACTAGTCTAAGTATGAAAGGGAGAAAATATTATAGAGACTCTTATCTGTATA